TACAAGTGACAATAAAGTTGTGTTTTTGTACAAGTGATAATAAAGTTGTGTTTTTGTACAGTGACAATAAAGTTGTGTTTTTGTACAGTGACAATAAAGTTGTTTTTGTACAGTAACAATAAAGTTATGTGTTTGTACAGCGATAATAAAGTTGTGTTTTTGTACAGTAACAATAAAGTTGTGTGTTTGTACAGTGATAATAAAGTTGTGTTTTTGTTAAAGTGATAATAAAGTTGTGTTTTTGTCTCTTGGCACACATTAAATATGGGTTCAATATGACTGGAGATGATCTTAAAGGGTTATTAAAGTTTAATTGTACGCCATATTAAGAATATTTTCACCACTTTGCCTCACTGTCATCCTTTTGTTTACCATACGAGGTTGAAGTGCAATGACAGAAGAGAAAATGGCGACTTGTGTCACAAGGATGGCGGCGATAAAGAGACGACGTGCATTAACATTCCCCCGTTGTGAGGTCCGTATGTCGTTGCACTTTTCCAAATTGATTCAGTTTAACGGAGATCTCATCTAGATTGGCTTTCAGAACTTAATTCTTTGTTTTATAATTTGCTCTTAATCGCCTTCCCTCCCTGCTAATGATAAGACTGTGGCTCTGCTTAGACTAAAGCCCCTCATTGTGAGCCCCTAAAGCTCTTAAATAAATAAGATTAGAGTATATCCCGTGTTACATTTGTGAATAAGATGGGCGCTATCAGATCTGCCGGCAAGTTGCATTATCCAAATCATCCCCTCTTTCTCTGCTGTCCATCCGTTCACACACCAGTCGTCCTCCATTTCTGGCGAACGTTAACTGGACCAACACAAACTGAATAACTGCTGTTGTTTTGGGATCAGACTGCCAATGTTTTCATTTCACCCAAACCAGGCTAACTAACTACAATCTGCTTCCTGTTTCATTAACCAGTTCACACAAACAGAAGAATCATTCAGTTATTTGGGGATTTTTTTTTTTTGGCTTGCAGGAGTGCCAACACCTGCTCAGTGAGTCCATTCAGTTACCAGATGATGCTTCACAACCATCAACTAGGATAATTCCAGCATCAGGCAGTTGTTGGTCGCACAAAAGTCAACTGTAAGGACCTCAATACTCAGGAATCCTCTTTAGAGTTTAAAGTCTAAGAAATGGACAATGCCGGATTAGGTGCCCGTTATCAGGAATTAAGAGACATTGAGTCCCTTAATTCCTGATAATGGATAAAGGTCATTACCCTTGTTAAACCATGGTCACCTGTCAAAGACTTTTTTTTTTAAATCATAACTCAGTTTCCGTGATAACACCTGAGGGTTTGACTAATACCTGGAAGGTAGGTAAGGAAGTCAGGTTGTTATGCAATTTTATAACTCCAGTAAATAGGACAAACCTTGTCGACTTAACATCGTGATACATTTCTAGTTCCCTCCGCTCATAGAGTGCTTTAGCTCAGCTACGAGCCAACGTTGTGCGACGAGCCAAAGAGCTAATGTTACAGTCCGATAGTTGAGACAGTTTACTAATAAACACAAATGTCACCCTCATGGTGGCGCTAGAGGTCACGTCAGGGGTTCACCAAAGTAGAAGTTTGTCTGTTTCTGAAAACACAGAACCTGAAGAACACGCTGAGAAAGAGCGTTTGTGTTAAGAATTTAGTTTTTTGGCATTTTAATGTGATGAAAATGATTAATGACAAAAGTAATTAATAAAATACAAAAAGTAAAATTGAGTTTACAGGAAATACAAAGTTTCTGAAGGTCGTTTCGGGAAATTTCCAAACAAAAGCAGGAATATCACATTAATGGATTGTTCAAAAAGCACACAAAGACAACAGTTTTATTGTTATATAACTGAATGTCAGTTACAGGAAACAGTTTCATGGTCTGGTTTGTCAGGAGAAAGTTAAGATAAAGGTGATTTTGATTTGATTTAATGGACCTTTGTGTTTGTTAGACTTCCCAGCAGTCACCATACGCACAAAGGAATGTATCTGCTAAGTCTCAAACACTATCGATGTGACCCCCGTTCTCTGTTAGGCTGATTTCAATTGTTTTTCTGACCTAAAAGTCTCTCTTAGTGCAGCAGTAAAACATCCCTGGAGTCTGAAATCGGTCAGGAGTCTCCCTGCAAGCTGCTTTGCTGCTCTTTAAACGTCAGTGTTTGTTTACGCTCGGCTAACTTTAATCCCAGGTTTCTTGTGTTGCACAGGCCTGTCAGTCAAAGCGGTGACAGCAGCACCAAAGGGCACCTCCACCAGCCGGCACCCGCACACATGCACCGACTCGTTACTGCAGAAAGAAAGTCGACCACAAACACACAGTGGAAACCCTCCCTGGGTGAAGCTCAATTAGCAAAAAAAACACCTTCAGAGTGATCGGATAACGACAAAGACATGTGGGACCAAGAAAAAACAGGTTGTTGAATCTTATTGTGTCGTGTTCAAGTGATGTAATTTATAATGTGAGTTCAGACACAAAGTGACTGGAAAATATAATAAAACAAAACGTTTGGCAGGTTTATTTATACCTTCTGTATTAAAAATAAGTTAGTCTTCTTCTACACTGAAAAACTGATTAAACAATATTGGTTTCATTAGGATCCTTTGAGGTATCTGCTGCAACTTATCTGGGTACTTTGGCCTTGCGGTGAAAGCCGTTCCTCTAATTTGACTTGAATGTAAATTCTGAGGTCTTTCCCAATTTAATATCATAAAATAAAAATACTGTGTTGTTTTTTAGTTATTAGGACAACTGTGTTAGGTCATTGACGATCAACGATTGTTTATAAGGTTCATTATTAGTAAAACCTTTATTTCCACCATCACTGAGACTCTTTTCTGATTCTCTTCAATCTACAGACACAATCTGCTCACAGTAACATCATTTAACTAACCTGTGAGGTAGTAAGAGTTGGACCATGAAATGAGACAAACCTAACTAACTGAGCTGTCCGGGTCTTTTCAGTTTGTAACATTTTTTATCGTGGATTGCCTAAAGCCACAGATCTTTTCTTCTTTTGTCCTTTGTTCTTTGGGGAAGTAAAGGAAGTTTTCTAGCGTTTTGTGGCCACAGCACTTTGTCCTTTGCGCTTTGGAGGGAGGGTGAAGTTTGTGAGTTGCAGTCTGCAAATACACAAATAGTTTCCACTAAATCCTACACACTGGTCCCTAATGAGTTACACTTATATCAACTCACAAAACTAAAACTTTGTTTGGATATATCTTTATTTACAAACAAAATAAGATGACGATATAAATTCATTTGTATCAATATGTATATAGACATAGCTAAAAAGGTCCATTTAATCTGTAGTCCCGGGGCAGAGGTCACTAGGTGCAGGTTACAAGGCAGGGTATATTAGATCATTGAACACTGATATGGATATATCAATCCAGATTTGATCGTTACACCCCGAACAGACAGCATCGGTGGTTTTAGTCGTTTGTGTTGTCGTCCTGTTTTTAGTCTGTACGTTCATTCAGATTCCACCAGAGTGGGAATAAAATCACCATGTTTCTGTTGTTTTGTAAGAAGTCACAGATCAAAAGTACCAGGCCAGTTTTTCCATTAGTGTTGAAATAGACCTGGATCACAGCTCAGCAGAAACACATTCCTCTCTGGCACTCCAAGACTCGACTTAATGGGGATTCCCTGGAAGGCACCAGCTCTCTTTTTTCTTCCTCTGCTGCTTCTTTAAGTGTTAATCCTTGGGAAACTTCCACCCGTAGCGGCTTGTTTGAAGCGAGCCAGTGGCTATCCGACTAAGTACGGCCCCCAGTCATCTGAATCATTAGATTAGGCTTAGGCACGGCCCTGACAAAAGAGATTCCCCATCACCGTTTGTTTCAAGGAGAGGCCCTGCTTCAGCCAGCACGGCCTCAGAAGTGAGAGGCACTTGGAAAGCAA